AGCCACCCTGCTCTGTGCATGACAGGGGACGGTGCCACAACTCCTCAGTCAGCCCTGCTCTGAGCCTGACCAGGGGCTGCACCTAGGGTTTGGGCCTGCCCTCTGCCACCCAGAAGCTGGCCTAAGCCAGCAGGTCATTATCTCCCAAGGGGTCCCAGACTGCGAGAGGGCACAGGCTGTGCTGAAAGACGCCCCCCCCCCGAATATACAAATTTTTGTGCACCGGGCCTCTAGTCTATATATATAAAAGCCTAAGCGGCCATTATGACCGAACGACTAGAATGACCAGTCAACCAGTCACTATGACATGCACTGACCACCAGGGGGCAGATGCTCAATGCAGGAGCTGCCCCCCTGGTGGCCAGTGCACTCCACAGCTAACCACCTTCAGACAGCCAACCTCCCACAGTCCCTCACCCACAGCTGGCAGGCCAGGCTGGGACAGGGAACCGAGGGTGGGTGGCACTGGACACAGCCCCTGTCCCAGGAAGGCCAAGGGCCGGCTCCCTCCTTGAGCCGGTGGCCAACCTCCTGCAGTCCCTCCCCCCGTTCCTCCCTCCAGCAAGCAGGCCCCAATTGGCCCTGATTGCTCACCAGGCCTAGGGACTCCCCCGCCCCCCATGCATGAATTTGTACACCAGGCCTCTAGTGTTGAAATAAAATTCATCTGTGAAATTAGCCTTCTTCTAGAATATCCTTCACTTTCCTTCTCACGTTAACTGTCTTTTCCTCAGTGTGAGAGGATAATGGCATCCTCTTTATAGTATGTTATATTTTTAATGTGTCAACACACGGGTTTTCAAAGTAAAACTTGCATGCATTTCTTTTAAAATTGGCAAAGCAATACAAGAATATCAATAGCAAAATAAAGATTAAATTATCATTAGAATTTATATGAATCCCCTAATATAAGAAGCTACTTACAGCACAAACAACAATCAATAAGTCAATATGCTAAGAAGAATAAACAAGAATTGCTCCCTTTTATCTATAAATACTATTTGGCACACAAAAGGTCTTGCTTTTTATTACTATGGGGCAGGTTTATTTCAATGACAACTAATTTCTATCATTTTAATGCAGGATTGTGGTTTGCTGATTCACCCGGAGGAAGCCTGTGGGTTGCAGCCAATTTCTTCTGACTACATTGAAGCCATTTCACAGCCCGAACTAAAAACTTGTCCATCTGGGGACACAAAAGGTGACTATCACACTGTGTCTATCACATCTCTTTAAAAAACTTTAATATAGATAAGTATATGCTTATTTTAAAATCCATATACACAAAGCTCAAGACAATAAATCACTTTTTCATTAGTATGAACGGCAGCACATGTAATTAATGTAAATGCATTGTTTTAATATGTGAAATATTTTGATTACTTTTCTCTTCACCCTCTGTTCTTTGCCCACATAATTCATATTCATCTACAGATCTCAGCTCAAACATGACTATGCCAGTCTTCCTTGAGACTCTAATTTGTTTCCTTATTCGATACTAGAGGCCCAACGCACAAAATTGGTGCAAGAGTAGGCCTTCCTTCCCCTGGCTGCCGGCACCAGCTTCCCTCTTGCACCCAGGACCTGGGCTTCCCTGCCAGAGGGAGGCTTCACCCAACCACCACAGCTCACCAGTTGGTGGCCTGGGCCTCCCCTGCTGGACGATCATGGGACAATGGCCGGGCCCCTAACCAATAGCATTGCACCTGCCTTGGCTGGTCTGGCGCCAGTGGGTGTGATAGCATGGTCATCTGGAAGGTCGTTTGGTCTAATTAGCATATTATGCTTTTATTATTATAGAGTCCCATAACACCCTGTGCTTTTCTCCCATAGTGGAGTCTTTAAATGATTATGTATGTAATTAATTGTGTAATGTCAGTGTTCGCAGGCTGTCAGCTGCACAAGGGCAGGAGTCTCATTGGTTCACATTGTATCAATCCACTTCCCACTATAATTTCTACAGAGTAGGCACAAAATATCAATAAGTACCTGTCGATCTTTTGAATCAAAGAAATGCAAAGAATACACGTTTAATTTTATTTTTTAACTTTATTTTATTTTTTCCAACACCATTTATCCCCTCTATGCCCTCTTCTGCCTCCATCCATCTCCCTCCACCCCCGCAATCACCACGCTGTTGTCCATGTCCATGAGTCCTACCTTTTATTTTATTTTTGTGCTCAAGCCCTCCCTTCCCAGACCCACTCTCCCCAGCTGTTTGCCTGCTCTCTATGAGTCTGTCTCTATTTTGCTTGGTAGTTCAATTTTGTTTATTAAATTCTACATATGAGTGAAATCACATGGTACTTGTCTTTCTCTGACTGGCTTGTTTCACTTAGCATAATGTTCTCCAGGTCCATCCATGCTGTTGCAAAGGGTAAAATTTTCTTCCCTTTTTCCAGCAGAGTAGTATTCCACCGTGTAAATGTACCACAGCTTTTGTATCCACTCATCTACTGATGGGCACTTGTGATGCTTCCAAATCCTGGCTATTGTAAATAACTGCAATAAACACAGGGATCCATACATTTTTTTGAATTAGTGTTTTGCGTTTCTTCAGATATATTCCCAGAAATGGAATTGCTGGGTCAAAAGGCAGTTCCCTTTTTAATATTTTGAGGTAACTCCATTATGCTTCCCACAGTGGCTGCACCAGTCTGCATTCCCACCAACAGTGCATGAGGGTTCCCTTTACTCCACATCCTCAACAACACTTGCTTGTTGATTTATTGATGATAGCCATTCTGACAGATACATGTTTCATTTTAAATCATGTTCTTTAATTATAAAAAAGGTCTTTGAGAATGATTAATAATGTCTCCCATATATTGAGCATAGTAGAGGCAGGAAAATTGTGATGTCCAGTTCAAATGAGAGTTCAGACCTGCCTAAGCCGAGAGCAGACCATGAGTGAGAGACTTTGGTGCCACTGGCTGCAGCCGCAGCCTCCCTCCCGCAGCCGCAGCCCCCCTCTTGCAGCCGCAGTCCCCCTCCCACAGTGTGCTTCTTTCAGTGGAGACCAGTGGGGTCAAGCCAGAGCTGGGACTGAGCATGCCTCCAAGGCCAGCAGAGGTGCAGGGGTCATCTTCTCTGAGATTCCTGGTTCCCACGCTGGCCTCCTGACCCCAGGTCCCCCTTCATCTAAAAAGTCTGAAAAAATACTCAGGCACTTTTCTACCCTTGCCATGAACTTCACACCACAGTGTGGATGGGAAATGAGTTTCACAAATGGGCAGGACAAATCGCAATTTGGCATGCCCAGTTAACAAGCACGGGCATGCCTCGTCCTTGAACATGTGTTCTAAATAATAAATTCCAGTCGGGGCATAAAGAGTGGTTTGCCCATTACGGTGCATCAGGTGGTATAATTCATGATTCTCTTGGTGAAGTGAGATACAGTTAGATACTCTTGTATACAAAAGAGACACCAATGAGTCTAGTAAGTATTTTTTTTAATCAGATGACAATTTATGAGAATCATAAAACAACTTAATTCCATTCCTCCTACTGAACCAAGTCAAAAGTTCTTCAACAGGAAGTCAAAGATACATTACTGAGATTCTTCCAGAAGTCTTGGCCATTAAGTTTGCAGGAACCTCGGCCAGGCCCTGATGGGGAGCTGTGACTACGCCTGTTCCTCACAGGAGAGACCCCCACAGAACAGGAGCCTCTGGTAACTTGAGTAGCTAGGCTTCTTTGCAGAAACCCCCAAACTGACTCCCCAAGCAAGCCCATCATCCTAGTCTGACTATTGCAGGCCTCCATCATCTGATCCTCCTGTGTCTCCCAGCTCCTCCCAGCCTCTCCGCCTCATTTTATGCCAATGATGCTGCCCAGGACTCCAGGCTAGTGTCCATGCCATTCCCTCTCCTACCAGCCTTCCCAGCTTGGCCTCGGTCTTCTGACGCTCTATCTTCCCCTCCAGGAAGCCTTTCTTTACCGCCCACCCCCAGATTAGCTTCTCTTCTGTGCTCCCAGAATACCTTGGGCACATGTCTACAGTAGCACTTACCTCATTGTTTCAGGTGCTTCATTTACATGTTTCTCTTTCTTTCTCTAATTAGTAGTCTGTAAAGTGGAATGATGTATCTGAATGGTCAGTGGCACAGGACGAACCCAGCAAAGATTAAAATATATGCACATTTACTTTTAATCTAATCACTCTTATTTTTGTTTTATAATTAATGTATACGTATAGAAGTATTCATATATGTACGTCCGGTACAGTATATATGTAGTCATGTGTCAAATGCGCATTAGCAATACATTTTTACTAATGACTGCCCTGGTTTGCATGTTTCTCCAGAACAGAGTTTGTCCCTTACTCACCTTTCAGTGTCTAATACATGATTTAAAAATGGTTGATGAACTGCCTTAGCCGGTATGCTCAGTGGATAGAGCATCGACCTGCGAACCGAAGGGTCCCAGGTTCAATTCCCATCAAGGGCACATACCTCAGTTGCAGGCTCCTCCCCAGCCCCGGCCCTAGTCAGGGTGCATGCAGGAGGCAACCAATCAATGTGTTTCTCTCACATCGATATTTCTCTCTTTCTCTCTCTCTCCTCCGCCCTCTGTAAAAGTCAATGGAAAAATATCGAGTGAGGATTTAAATTTTTTTTTAAATGGTTGCTGAACTAAAACCATGTCCAAGCTCTCCTCCCTTCCACAGAAGACTGTGTGCAGCGAAGGCACAGTCAACCAGGGATACCTGCTCGGCCCTTGAGGTCCTAAGTACTCAAAGTAAATGAGTGAGATTGGGGACAGTGGTTTGCAAGAATGGATTTTTTATATATCTCTCTATCTATATATATATTTTTTTGCAAGAATGGATTTTTTTGCTGCTGGAGATCATTTTCCCTCCTTGATGGCAGGACTCCCTTCTGTTGAACGAAGTTATCATGGTCGACAGCACAGGAGGAAGTTTACTTAGGAGCTCTAGCTTTAGCTTCTTATATTTTTAGGCCGCAGATTATTTCCAAAAACTGATTTTCACAGCCCATTACAGGCATTTGGCAGAATCGGATCCATTCTTTCACCTTGCCAATGTAATGATGGTCACAATATCTTTTCTATAACACTAGCTAATATAATTTTGAGTGGCTGTATATTGCAATTCTTTAGTGGATTTCTAACCTTTAGAAAGTAATTTAACTATAAGACACAACCTAAGAATAAAATCTGTTACTTCACAAGGAAAAAAGAATTCTTCTAATTTGCAGAAAGAAGAGATGTATACAATGATTATTGAATAAGAATTACCTTTAAGGAAAATAGTTCAGATTTCATTTTATGCTGTGTGCACAAAAGCATTAATCAAACCTTATTTTTAAGTAAAAACTGCTTTATTTTATAGCATTATAAAATCTAGAATTAGTATTATCATCTATGTGATTTTATATCTCAATTTGGCCCTAAAGCAAAAAGTTAATTTTTTTCTCCATTATATTGCCTGATCTCATTCACTTAAATGGCAGAAATCTAACTCATTAAATCCAAAGCTATAATTATAAATCAAATAACTTCTCACAAAAGGCAGTTTTATGCCTCAGAATGTTTTTCCCTGAAACATATGTCATATTTTATTTCAGAAATCACAGCTTTGATTCATTCAATGTTTAAATACAGAACATAGAATTTATGTCCTTCTTTTTGACAATTTTAGGTAAAAGCTGGTATCATTTAAGATGTCAAGGAACTCCAGTCCTGCAGATGCATCTTTTAAGCAGTATTACTAACTTGAAAGAAAGGCATTGTTAACCAATACAAAAATGCAGAGTTAGGACTGTGTAAACATATAGTAGTACGAATCAATGGGACCAAGGTTTTAGAGACCCAATCAGTTGTCCGTCCCGTCCCCCCCAAAAAACTAATTGTACTCATATTTGTATCTTTGTGCTTGTATTTATTTGGCCACTTGTTTCTTCAGCCATAGCAGCAAGTGGCCAAAGAAAGCCTCAGTTTGTGCAAAATTAGCTGCCAGCCAAGGGCTGGGGGAGAGGAGCGTGTCTGTGGGAGAGGATGCATGTGCTCTTAGATATTCAAGGATCTGATGAAAGCTGAGCCCTTTAAAAATAATCTCATTAGCAGAAACACCTTCATGTCCCCAACATCCCGTCATCCTCATAGAAAGAAAATCAGCTATCTTTTTTTTTTAAACATAATCTCTGTCAACACATGAACCCACTGAATAAATTCAAGTATTTGAAGTAAAGATAAGTTCATTTAAAAAATACAAAAACCTATTTATGGGTTTTCCTGTAAATGCCACAAATGACACTGTTAGGCCATATTTCATTTTCAGCTGGTGATTCTGTGCTGACCTAACTCAACATGATAAAAGGATCAGCAAAGTGGAGACTTCTAGGCCTCAGTTCTGGCCCAGCCCTGTCATGAATGGCATGATTTCACTTCTGTCATCCAATGCTGTAGGCCTCAGTTTACCTCATTTCTAAAAGAGGAGGAGACCCAAGGTCCATTGAACCCCATCCAAGAGGGTTCTATATGTTCACAAAATGCAAATCTCTATGGAGTAAAGTCACTTCCAGAAGGAGGTTTTCTTGAGAAATTAATGAACAAACATTAAACTTAGGGCTATGTCTAAATCACATTGAGTTAGAAGAGACCAAGCATAGAGGTGAAACAGTTGATTATGGATTACAAACCCTGTGTGCCAGGAAAAATTAGATGTAGAAAGCAAGTTGTATTTTGAATGAAAAGCGCAGAAAAATTTATACCAGAGAATCAGAGGGTGAGACAAGCACACTCCTAACACTTTCTGTGTTGTATCTTTTAATAATACTGCTAGACTCTACATATGGAAAGTGGAAACACCTTTCACCCAGCAGACCTTTTTCTCTCCAATATAGTCACTTCTTCTGCCTCACTTCTCTCAGGTCCACCCATCAGGCCCCTAAACACCACCGATTCTGTATGTCCAATTCTTGTCTATCCCTAAGACCTCATTTCAGTTTATGCATTCCATGGAATCTTCCAGACAACTCTTGCCCCCATGACACTGTCTTTATTCTGAACTACCATGGTTTACTTAAGGTGGGGGTGGGGGATAACATGTATTCGTCAATTGCTAGGTATCAGGCACTATGGCAGGTGCACACGTATTTTCCATATAGAGAAAATTAAGTAACCTATACAAGTTAAACAGTGGTTCTCAACCTTGGCTGCACATGGAATTACCTGAAAAGCATTTCAAAAATACTCCATGATGGAGAGTATTATACTAAGTGAAATAAGTCAGTCAAAGACAAGTATCACATGATCACACTCATAGGTGGAATCTAATGAACAAAATAAACTGATGAGCGGAGTGGATCCAGAGACATGGAAGCATAGAACAGAGTGTAGAATCGCAAAGGGAAGGCAGGGGAGGGTGAGTGGGTGGGAATTAATCAACTAAAGACCTTATATGCATATAAGCATAACCCATAGACACAGACAATAGGGTGCTGAAGGCCTGGGGGGCGGTGTTGGATTGGAGGGGGTCAAAGGGGGAAAAGGGGGGACATATGTAATACTTTCAACAATTAAGAAAAAAATAATTACAGAAAATAAACTTAACTATATTTAATTAAAAAAAAACAACCACAACTCCATGAGTCCCATACCCAGCCCAGCAGCTCGGATTTAATGAGCCTAGCAAACAACCCGGGCATGGGTGATTTCAAAAAGCTTTCCAGGTGGCCCTACTGTGTGGTGTTGAGATCCTCAGAGCTAGCTGGAGGCAGAGCCCAGATGTGTATCTCCAAAGCCTAGGCTCTTTCAGGACCACACAGATATTTTTTTACTTAATTATGCATTACTTATTATTATAATTATTTGACTTGTATAAATTATAAACTTTTTGTCTGATTATAAATGTTTGAGGTTTAGCATCATAGTTAGGAGGCTTAAATTGGATAATTTATTAAAAGTGCTTAGAATATCCCTAGCATCTTCCAGGTGCTATGAAAATGTTATTTTTTAAGTTGTTGTGATATTTTTAACACTAATAGCATTTAACATCTAATAGGGAAGCTACCTCAATAATGTACTAAATTAAAATCCTCCTAGAGAGTAATATTTTCTTTTATCTCCCCCAGATTCTCTCAATGTAGATACACTTTTTTCCCTTTCTGTGAGGGGAAAGAATGTATTAGTAAGACATAAACTAGCTCTCCTCTTACACACACCCGCATACACAATTCGGACATCCCCGTGGTAGTGAAGTGCAGATGGCACCGTATTCATCCCCCGAAAGGAGAAACTCGTCCAGCTAAAATCAATGTAACACCTGATACTTTTGTTAGCAGAGCCACAAATCAAAGCCAGCATGGAGAACGTTGTTCAAATTTTTCCTTTCAAACTTAAAAAGTTCCTGGGAATATTTATCTCCTCAATATTTTAAAGAGAAATATTTGCCGAAACCGGTTTGGCTCAGTGGATAGAGCATCGGCCTGCGGACTGAAGGGTCCCGGGTTCGATTCTGGTCAAGGGCATGTACCTGGGTTTCGGGCACATCTCCCATGGGAGATGTGCAGGAGGCAGCTGATCGATGTTTCTCTCTCATCGATGTTTCTGACTTGCTATCTCTCTCCTTTCCTCTCTGTAAAAAAATCAATAAAATATATTTTTAAAAAAATAAAATAAAGAGAAACATTTAGTAGTAACACAGGCAAGCCTTTAAGGTAGAGCATATTACTGCTGTAGACATCAGGGAGATGTCTCCTTCTCCACAAAGGAGATAAATGACCACTTCATGTTTGATGTGCTAGTGCACACTCCATTTCTGAAAAGATAAACAAGGAAAAATCAAGTCATTTCTTGATTTTTTTCTAATAAATTATTAATGTATCTACTCACACTAAGTCAGTCAGAGAAAGACAAGGATACTTGTCTTTCTCTGACTGACTTATTACACTTAGTATGTTTTGGATGCATATTACCTCATCAATAAAATAGAAAAGATCTTAAATACACTGAGAATATTCATTTATTTTGTACACATTTACTAAAATTTGGGACCTACTTCGTGCCTGAAGTCTACTAGGAACAAAAATGAGTATGATATTGTAACTGTGCTTGGTGCATTAAGTACATTATCCCATTAAATCCTCACACCAATCAAGTGAGAACACTACATACCTCATCTAAGAGCTGAAGAAATAAAGGCAACGGAGCTAAAAAGAGGTGAAGAGATTCACACCAAAAATGACATCCATCAAATTGAGGAACTGGTCTTCAAAATAACAAATTATCAGGACATAAAAGTAATTTTCTTAATGGATTGCTCACATAAGCATGAGTTAAATTAATCACTATTTATGGCCAACTACCTCAATATTTGTGGCTCCCCACCTACGTTGGTCCTAAGGGTCTAATTTTACAGTTTAAAAATGTGATTATTTTTTTAAATTATTTTTTATTTATGCTTTTTAATTGAGTAGTGCCTGATCACTAGACTTTGTACAAGTACGCGGCTTCACAGAACTGAACTCAGACTTGATTTCAGCATGAACTGTGCTATTTCAGATCATTATGTAGTGAGATTCTATTTGGTTGGAAAGAGGCCACGCATTGCTCCACTCGATTTGTATGGCAAGAGTGGTCTTCTCACCGCAGCTTCTGGGAGGGTGTGCCACGGCTGAACCCCAAGGTCCCTTGCAAACTGTAATTTCATCAGTAGAAACTGAACCAAAGGAGGTTTTGGTGTCTGTTCCAGGCCAGTGGATCATGCCTTGCCTTAGTTGTTCAGACAACCGGACCTGTGACTGGAGAGAAATAACGTGGCAGCCCCACAACTGCCAGTATGGTGTCCTCACTAAACCTCAGCTGCAGCAGTGCCTGGGAGCAAGGAAGGTAGGTTTGGATCCAGTGGGGAATCCTTTCCTTGACACCACCCACAGCACCGGTGGCCATGAGTCGCATCTGCAGACCAACCTGTGCCCTCTCACTCCACAGGGCCTGACTCACCATGCAATTGGCTTTTTAACTTGTGTAAATGTTATCATAGAAGAGCTTTAACAATTCTTGCGCAAAAGCACGCCGTTATTTCCAAATACGTCTACTTGACAGATGGAGGATATTAAAGTCATGTCCTGTGCTGATCGCATTCCATGGTAGTTTTCTCAGCACAAAGTGGTAAGAGCTCGCCATGTCCGCTGACAGCTGGCCATGCGGAGCAGCTGGCCTTGACAACTGCCGCCCCAGCAGAGCACCGCAGGCCAAACAGACATCTGCGGCTCACACACGCAGTGCAGTCCTCCTGCATGTCAGACTCACTCCTGCTGGAGCTGACCGAGAGCATGGCATGGTCCCTGCACACTGGCCTTGCGATTTCCTTCCCCTTCCCGAGCAGGGCTCGCGTGGTCCTCCTTAGGCGGCCTTTCCTTTGGTCCGGCTGCTGAGCTGGTTTCTTAGCCACGCAGTCTTCTTGCGAGGCGCACTCTGACTGGGCCCATTCCAGCCGAGCTCTCAGACGTGTGAACTGGGCACATAGGCTGAGGTGCTTGGTTACCATGAAGTAAGAAGGCCTCATCCAGGTTTTCAAAGCTCGTCGATTACATGGGCATTTCCTTAAAAAATTGTTTGTAAACTCTTACATATGGACAAGGTTGAGTTCAAAAACCGATTTAAAAAAACACAACTCTATTAATGCATACAGAAATGGGCACAGGACTAGATATATGCCAGTTTTCATATTTTCAGTTTATATTTTCTACTAGCAAATAATTTCAGAAGAATGAAGGGGTGAGAGGGCAGGGCCGAGGATGGACTTCTCCATGGTGACTACAATGTAAACACCCTATTCTGTGACCAAGACTATATCTAAAGATAAAGTAGGAAGGAAGGGAAAACATTTATAAATATTTTTATTAACTGAGCATTAATTCTGTACAAGAACTATGGTGCTTTCTGACACCCTACATCCAACTAGACTATTAGGTCCATGAAGGCAGGAAATGGGTGTGAATCATTGCCATACTCTCACTGTTAGCACAATTTTTGATACATAATAGTCACTAAATAAATATTTGTTGCATAATCCGATAAGTTAAAATCTTGTTTATTTCTAATCATAGTTCTGTGAGGTAGATACTATATCTACTGTTTTCCACTTCAGAAAATTAAAGCTCAGAGGTTAATTCATCCATGATGGCACAGGTCTGTGAGTAGCTACTATACAGGCATTCTTAACCACCAGCTTGGACATTCGAACCTTGATATCTTAGCAATGCAGGACTGGAAGCAATAAAAGTAGTTGTTGCCATACAATCAGATTTCTCTAAACTCTTTCAGAATACCATTCTGACCTCAGAATTTAGAGGATTCAGGAAAATTCCAAAATGTCACAATCCATTAACCTGAAGGGCAGGAGATATCAATTTAAGTTCATCGCTAAATTCCATGGCTTTGGACATGGTATACATTTTTTCTCAGACTTATTTTCTTTATTCATAAAATAGTAAGTCTACATGACCTAATCCTATGCTGTAGATTAATCAACATTATAGAAAGCTAAAGCCTTCCTTCCTATCAGAAAATACCATGGGTTGGGTAGCTTAAAGAGATACTTATTTCTCACAGTTTTGAAGGCTGAGAAGTCCCAGATCTGGGTGCCTCTTTGCTGTGTCCCCACAAAGCAGAGAGAGAGAGAGCTCTGGTCTCCTCCTCTTCCTATTGGGATTAGCCTCCACTCTTGTGACCTCATCTAAACTTAATTACCTCCCAAAGGCTCTACCTCCTAATAGCATCACATAGGGGTTAGGGTTTCAACATATGAATTTTGGGGCATACAGACATTAAGTCCCTAATACTGTCTTTGCTAATTTTAAAGTTAATTATTCACAACTTTACAAAGTGATGGTAAGAAAAAGGGAAGATCACTTTTCCTACCTATTAGGCAGATTCGATATTGCAAAGTCTAAAAATAAAGGCCTATGTTCAGATTAGGGGATAGGAGCAGAGACCTGACTTCTTTGCAGAAAAGACTTACCGTGGAGATTTTCCTAGTGTAGAGTTGTCCTTCAGACCCGCATACTCTGAAACTCAATTCACCAGCACATTGGCAATGGTCCTCCAGTCTGTTTTGTTTGCCAGGATGCTAATTTCCTGTATACACAACAGGGAAGCATTGTACATTTTAAGCAGAGTAGTGGCAAAACCAGAATTAGAAAGCTCATCCAGTAGAGGTATAGAGACTGCCTGAGGGAAGGAGGAAATGGGTGCTAGGGAGATGGGAGGCTGTTTCATGGAAAAATTCAGTCATGCAACACTGAGGAGGCAAGAAAAAGTGCGGAATATGTATAGAATAACCCCATCAATGGAAAAACTAATGCAAACATGCTTACATACACAGAAAATTTCTGGAAGTAGCAAACAGTTCAGAGTGATTACATAAGAGGGAAGGAGTGAAAGAGGGTGGGATGTTGACAGGACCAGCTACAAATTTTTCAAGGCCCAATGAAAATACAGGACTCTGTATTCAGAATTATTAAGAATTTCAAGAAGTCAACAGCAGCACAATGAACCAAGCACAGGACCCATGCAACTGTTGAAGCCACGTGCCCATGAAGCAGACTCGGTAGTAAAGAAGGGTTGGTGACAGGTGAGGAGATCTGTCTAACTATCTGTATTATTTTCAATGTTCTACAATGTGTGAGCATTTTGTAAAGCCCAAAACCCATATTTTAAAATGTATAAATCAGAACAAGGGTGAGAACAGTGGAAATGCATAGGAGGAAGAGCCTGAGGAAGATAATTTATACTTAGAATCATAAAACTTTGTAATATACAGGCAGGTGCATATGTTCATACACCACACAACCCAGAAATAATTGTGTAAACAACCTATATAATAAAAGGCTAATATGCAAATTGACCTAACAGTGGAATGACCAGTCTCTATGATGCGCACTGATCACCAGGGAGCAGATGCTCAATTCAGGAACTGCTCCCTGGTGATCAGTGAGTTACCAGAGGGAGCACCGCTAAGCCAGAAGTCAGACCTCCCCCAAGGGGGCTCCCTGACTGCAAGAGGGTGCAGACCAAGCTGAGCGGAACCCCTCCTCCAAGTACACGGATTTTGTGCACTGGGACTCTAGTTTAAAATAATAACTATGCAGATGTTGGGAGAGTAAGTGGATGCTGTGCAGACATGCTCCCAGAACCAAACTGGAATTACAACTAAAATACAGAAAAACTTCCTGAATAATCAATTGGACACTAACTGGAAAGAACCCTGATAACCGAGGATGGGAAGTGGAGACCACATAGAGACTGTAGGAGGGGTGGAGGCGCAAAAGGGTTGGCCAGGCTTCCACAGACAGCAAATGAAGTTCCAGAGAGATCTCTCAGGAGATCTCTCCCCAGGCTGAGCCTCCCAGCAGAAAGCACCAGAACTAAGAAGGATACCCACATAACACCGGGCTATGAAAAGCAGCAGGTTTACTGTCTGCCAGGGAGAGACAGCCAGAAATGCAGACACCCTCTTAAAGGGCCAATGACAAAATTCCCTGTGTATCCTTGTGCTCCGGCAGAGGGAGGGCAGAGTGGACTGGAGCTGTGTGAGCAGAAGCCAGGGTTGAGGATTCTGGGGTTACAGCTGAGAAGGCAGACCCCTGTTTTCCCATGCTGAGTCATTCCCTCTCACTGCTGAAGTCATCTTTCTCATGAAGGCAATTTGTATCTAGGTTGTTTTGCCTGGGGGGAAGACAGTTGACTTACCCTATTGGAAAACACCTTGCCCCACAGTGTGGGAGTTTCTTCGGCTCATTAAAAGACTGAGAATAACAACTAGCCCCTAGGCAGAAGCAGTTGCCCCCACCCTGTTGGGAAAAACTCTCACCATACCTGTGGGCAATTTCCTGAGAGCTATTCAAGACTAAATCCAATCAGTCTGCAAGCAGAAGCAGTTTCTGGAGGTTTTGAGTCTTTGCCTGATCTAATTAGTAAAAAACAACATTTGACATTGTCCTGCACTAGAGATTGAGAGGCATAGCAGATCTACTAATACATAGTCACAAACCCAAGCAGGCACCCAAAATGAGGAGACAAAGAAACAACCCCCAAATAAAAGAACAAGTGAATTCTCCAGAAGAAGAGATAAATGAAACAGAGATAAGAAATTTATCTGAGAGTTCATCTGAAGATAAGGTAGAAAAAATTCACTCAATCAGAGAACCAAAAAGAAAAAAAGTATTAAAAAACAGGAGGACAACTTAAGGGAGCTGTGGGACAACATGAAATATAACAATATTCACATAGCAGGTATGCCAGGAGAGGCAGAAAGTGAGAAGGGGATAGAGAATGTGTTTGGAGAAATAATGGCAGAAAACATCCCTAACCTGGTGAAGGAAAAAGTCACACAAGTTCAGGAGGCACAGAGATTCCCAAGCAAGAAGGATCCAAACAGATTCACACCCAGACAAATCATAATTAAAATGCCAAAAAATAACGATAGAGAGATAATTTTAAAGATAGCAAGAGAAAAGCAAACTGTTTCCTACAAAGGAACTCCCATAAGGCTTTCATCTGATTGGTCATCAGAAATTCTACAGGTCAGAAGGAAATGGCATGAAGTACTCAAGATAATGAAAAGCAAAAATCTGAAACCAATATTCCTATATCCAGCAAGGATATAGATGGTGAAATAAAGAGCCTCCCAGACATAAATAATAACTATAAAGTACTTAGTTGTTAAAAGAAAAAAAAGTTCCCTTTGTGAATAGGAGTAGTTTAGCAAAAGATTTTCCCAGTGCCTCTATTTTTCACTTTCTATGAGAATAATATACATATGCAAAGTGATCCTGAAACTCTGATCTGTCATTACTGGGATAATTAAGTTTCCATCCTACCCA